ATTGTTTTTCTGTATCAATGGTAAAGAAACGAATACTTTTGTTTGGTTATATATAACACTTCTTCACTACCGCGCTTCTTAAAATATAAACGTTGTATCCGCCGTCTATTCTTCTGCTTTAACGGCCACGGCCTTTGATTGAAGATTATAATAGTATTATAACATCTTTTTAGACCATTCCGCACTACGTTGGTGTTTTGGCCCGGATCATTACTGAATAATACTACTGGATCTAATCTTCTCCATTTTGCTGTTGGTGCCATCACGTGCAGAGGAATCTTTGTTAACCAAGTGAACTTATTTGTGGTTGTTATCTCAGAAAGCAGCTTACAAGTAACATTCATTTCATAACACTGTTACCATTTTGTTGCTCAATATACCTTTTTATAATTTAACTGTAATTTGTTACCTTTTGCGTTAATCATAGACACACGCTTAGGTTCGTAGTGTTAATTCTTTTGGTATATTGTTGGTAACGTTGCGAATTGTTATATTTCAACTAAGCTCTTTTGCTGAGGTCCACCACAGTTCTTCCATCTGGGCCTTTGTTTGCAACTCAAAGTTTAAAACGTCAAGAATAGAACGAATAGCTAGACGATAGTTGGGTGCCAAGTATAGAGTATTCATGAACCCTGAAGACGTCTATACAAGTTAGCTAGACGAAACGTTAAAATTATTGAAACTTCAACCTCCGAGATTATTTCATACATAATTTTCACATATAATGACGTCGTAAAAGTTGTAGATTTAAACTAATCAAAGTGATATATTACATGTTTATGTAGTAGACTAGTATAAAACTCATCGATCACAACTTTTACTCTTCAGGTGGCTTCATAAATAGTAATATAAAAGTGGGTTAATCCTCATCTTTGTGGTTTTGATAAGCTTACAATACTCTTACCAAATGCTCTTTCGTCACCAGTGATACGAAACTTTAAATTTTTTGGTTTGAATATATAAACCCTGTCAAGCCAACGTTTAGTGAGATAGATTAGGGAATAACATAAGGTTCATCATTTTCTACTTCACTGTTAGATTGGTATATGTTATGGAACCAACATCGTCCCAGTGAATATGGCACATGGTATTGATAACGTCAGACGTTCTTGATATCGTTTGTTAATACTCTAGTTTGTTTTTCAGCCCATTTCGGAACACAACGGAAAGTGCCAATAACTCCCACTATCAAAACATCCAACGTTCTTATATGTATACCACTAGTAATACCATATGTGAAATTGTGTTCTGGATATACTTCACTGTAATAAAATATTTAGTGCCAAAATTTTTATGTCATTTCCCTGGATAGAGGGTTTTGTATAGGGAAAACAGATTGTGGCTTCCAAACTAACTCAGCGTAGAATTAAAATGTTTTTATTTGTCAGTTTTTGTTTGGGTACGTATGCTCTTGCAAATCCAAAATCCGGAACAAAGCGGTTGGATAATGGATGACTTTAGACAACTGTTACCACAAAGTTATTCAACTAGTAATTGCTCAATGTATATTCCACTTATTTTCAGTAAACAAACTCCCCCACGAATACAGGAATATTATTCCATCCTACAAGCTGTTTAAAAGGTAATATTTAGGTTGGCCATAATAGTGAGTGTTTCCAGTTCAGGAAGTGTGTTTCAATTAACAGTCAAAAATTCACACTCTCAGCCATTTCATTAACACAGTCGAATAGAAAAAGGAACCAATATGGCAGCCGCTATAACCAAAATGTCGAGCTGGACAACTTGAACACAGTTCAACAAAAACCTGAGAAAGACAAAAAGTATGGTGAAAAATAAACAGTCCCGCCTTGACTGGAATCCAAATATCAACGAATTATGCGGGTTGAGGGATAAAGAATAAGTTGCAAAAGTATATACGTGGAGGAGTTTCCAAAAAATATCCTACACAGATAGCTTGAATTGTAGTGGGTCCTGTGTAACCAGGTCATAATGATAAAAGAGGAGATGTATGTTTTCTCTCTATCGCCAACCTGACCGTCGACCAGTTCATCAACATGTTGACCGTAAGATCAGCAACGTATGTGCAAAATGATGTTACAACCAATGAACAACATTCCAAATCTTAATCCATAATAACCCCTGAATCCTTCAAACGCAGAGGCTAATCAGAGGGTGAAGAACGAAAACACATCACATCTTTGTTACTCTCAATCTGGTCATGTCTCAGGACTCACACAATAATGTAGCTGAATCGTTGAACTGAACATGCTTGTAGATCGCTAACTTAGATTATCTGTGCTGAATGATGGAGGGCCTACTCGAGTTAGACGACAGTGGTGTGACGAACCGGCTAAAATCAAAGTCATGCGTCGTGGCCAGCATTTAAAGCAGATTACCCACTAGACGTATCAAAGTACTACAGCTTCTTTGAAGATCATATAACACAAAGGACGTTATTACAGAAACGTATTAGTAAGAGTGAGTACAGAGAAGATAGCGAGACCACCATAGTATGGGCCAGTCCGTGGCATACGATTAACTGCTATGTGCTGGTTGTCCATGACTGTGACAGGGATCTGTGATCTGTTCGATATTCAACGTCTCAAATGACGGATGATTTGGATAGGGCTCGATGACAATTCACTATCCCCACATGGTTAACGAATTAAGATGTTTATCTCATTCAGTCTGGAATAGTATAATAATGGAGTGACAGATATGGTTGACTGATGGTAACTGTTGAATGACGAGACATGGTAACGGTTTGTGGGCCGAACGAAAGTTTAGGAGTGGAAACACGACAACACAGGAGTCTACCAGTTATGCAATAAAAATCGAAACAACAGTCCTTCTTATAATAATATATTTCTGCAAGGTCAGGTACATGCCACTTTTACTGGCATGATCTACAAGTTACAAAATTTACTGTTTCACAGTATGCATTCCAAGCAGGGTTGTTTAGTAAATATAATATATAAAATTGAATATCAATTCATTCGTTCAGACATACAGGGTAGTCTTCAAAATATTTTCCGAAGGGGCTTCGCGTCCACGTTACACACCAGATCCAATCTTGGTAAATTTTTGTTAGGGTTTTGGTCGTGCTAAGTCTTTATGCAACGAAACTTTATAAGTTCATGGTCGTTATAAAGTAGACTTGTGGAACGCTTGGTATGATAATCCAACGAGTTTCACGTTCACATTATTCGTCTGATTATATCAATGAGGTACATTATAGTGGCTTTAGATAAATCAAGCGACTAGAAGAATCTTTTAGTGTAGACGTAATATATCGGTTACTTTTATTCATCAGTTGTTTATAAGTTATTTTAATTAATTACACCAACCTGTCAACCATAGATGTAGCAAACATTAAAATCAGCAAGCATTTGACAAAGATCATCACAACCGGATGTTATAAAAGTTGAGTAACATTGGGATCGGAGGAGATCTATTAATGTGGATAAGGAACTTCATAGTTGGTAGCCAACAAAAATAGCGGGCGAACCAAATGTTGTCTAGCTGGGTAACTGTAGTTATCACGGTGCCTTAGGGTACAGTTATGGGGGCAGTGCTGTTTTTCCTGTATGTAAATGATCTTCTTGGTCCTCTATCATCCTCGGTTTTGTTATACACTGATGGTGTCAAGATATAGAGGGCAAAAGAATGTAAAGGTGTTAATACAGAACTTTAAAATGACCTAAAGAAATTGTCTAGATGGTCTAAAATTTAGCAGTTACCGGTAATGCTTCCAATTTTAATATGATGCATATTAGGTATAAAAGTGTAGACAAATGCACAGTGAGTAACAGTGAGCTACCTGTTGTTCTCCTTATTTTCCAGTGCATTTCCCCTTTTTTCCCCTTTAATAGTTGTTTGGGACTCAATGACTTAGAAGTCATCATTAGCGAAGATTTAAAAATTATTGCATACTGCCGTGTAATTCAACCAAAAGGTTTGAGAATCATACGGCAATACGTAGGGTCTTTAGTCGTGCCGACGCTAAAACGTTTTTGACTTTATATACAGTGTTCGTGCGTCCTGAAATTGAGTACTCCATTCAAGAGACTATCCTCTGCTTAAAAGAGATAATGAGCTCTTGGAAAAGGGACAGAGAACAGTGAAGATACCACAGGTATTGTAGTTTGACAACACTTTAACTAGCAAAAGCTTCTATAATTGAATAGTGCCATTCCAGTGAAATCGAAAGTCAGAAGCGAGGAGGTTGAAATATTTATTTGATGGATTATCAATATATCGAGAAACTTACAAGACAGCTAAATGTGCGCAGTCGCCTAATGGTGGTCGTTTCTGGGTAATCCAGAATGTCCGCCACTTTGCATCTAGGAGGTCGGATGCATTGAGCATTAATAGTGTGTCCTAAGTAGTTTAAGGAGTCATTTCCGATTTGACGTTTCTGAATATTTGCAGTGATGCCATGCTTTCGCAGTCGTTCGAACACAATGTCCAGATGCTGGAGATGGGACTTTCCACCAATGAAGATGCCACAGGTATTGTAATTTGACAACACTAACTAGCAACAGCTTCTATAATTAAATAGTGCCCTCCCAGTGAAATCGAAAGTCAGAAGCAAGGAGGTTGAAACATTTATTTGATGGATTATCAATTTATCGAGAAATGACTGATCTAATCTGGCTAGTGATCTCAGGAGACGTTGAGCACGCCTTTCGAAACCGTGATCTGGTGTGGACACATGACCGAGTGACTTCAGCTAAGTGAGTCCATTAAAACTAATGCGGTCATCATCCAATGTCGAACACTTACAGAGCTATTTATTTTTAGGATTTATTTACAGCTACAACAGTAACTAAAATTATCCCCGGAATAGCGAAGCCTCTGTATGATGCTAGACTGGTCAAGCTGAATCTATTCCTGTTGCCATATAGAAGATTTAGAGTAAAAATGCCACATGTATTCAAAGCACGTCAACGCTTGAACCAGTAACACCTTGAGCTAGTTGAGAGACCATCATTGCCAGGACTAACACAGGCCATTAAGCTTCCCGTTCTTTCGAAAATGAAACTGTTTACCAACTATCTGGGTCATTTTAAGAGTTTGGATCTTTATTACATAGAAAAAACATGGAAATAAAATCCAACTTTGTTTAGCTGAATATTTTAAAGAAATGGCAAATGATATTAAGATAAACCACAGTGTCGATCTCAATTGTTATTTGATGCAAGTTCTTGGCGGAATTTCAATGTGTGCGTTATGGATGGTAGGTCTTGTGAGTTAATGGTCCACCATCCTAGATCCTGACCCTTTGAAAAATGTCAACTGGAACGCACGTAAACACTCAGTTGCTAACCGTCGTCATGTTGAACTCGTCGCGTTTTCAGATACATTGTTAAAAATGTATCATGGCGTGCTTCATTGTGTTATGGAACTATACCGGGGTAGTTACTGACTCACTAGACGAGCTTTTCCCAATATGTTATAGATGACAGAGACTGCCAATTTTCTTGGCAGCATTTCAGGAACGCCGCTGATAAATTGGCGGAAATGCACAAATACGTGAAGCTAACGATACTGAAAGTGTATGAACTTGGGATTGTTGAGGGAGCTGCCTCTTTCTCCTCCGATTTCTTCGAAAAAATCAAGGATATGCCATTGCAAAATGAAAATAAGGTTTGTTTTATTCCTTCAAAGTCTAGGTTTTTTAATATGATACTTTTGTCAGACTTCGGAAGTTATTGTAAGTGATGATTGTACCCTTTGAAGAAGGAATAAAGGGATAAGAAAATTTCATGCAGTTAGTTCCCTTTTCTGTCTTTGTTTGGATAAGGAAATATTTTTCCTTCATTGAGAAAACTTTGCCGAACAATCGTCAGTTTACCGTTCTAGTATTAGTTACATGTCAAACATCGTACCTTTCATAAAGCATTATTGATTCCTTTTATAGTTACAGTTCCTACCGTTTGCGTCTGTTAAAGTATATCTGCTAAACATAGAAGAAATAATGTATCTCCATGAGTTTATTTCTAACTATGTTGGGTTTAAAATATGGGATGCTCATCTAATTTTTCGAAAGTCCAAGATCCAGAAACATGTAGCAGCCACAGATATGTCCGTATCATTAGGCGTTCATTAGACCCTTTCAAAAATATGAATAAAGCCTTCAGTTTGTATTTTATATTTTCATTGTTATTCATAGATATTCTCAAAACAGTCAGGTAACGCTAATGCTGATCCGAATGGGGATCACTCGGATCTGCTGTGCTTCACATCAGCACAGACGGGAGAAATCGGAACCAAAGTATTGAGGATAGGGTTATTAGTAGTATAGATACCAAAAAGTGTGACAAAAATATATTTCGGAAGCAATAGTCGGAACCATTGAAAATAAATATCTTATCTTCAAGGTTTAAAGTGCATACATTACTTGAGACTCCATCGTCATCAAGAAAATATGCTGCCCATTAGTTTGTTCTCTGCCGCCGTATGGTTCAGTTGGCTGTTGAAAATGGAGGGTATACGTAGACTACGGATATCGAATCATAGGTGGCTTCGCAACACCACTCGATAATAGTGATATCGGTAACAACTTCACTTCTGACAAGATTAAGTATTAACATAATTTCGAACCAATACAATCCTATCATTTACTTTAATACGTCCAAGGTACTGGATTTTGGCCTCTGACCATGACCAATATAGTGTCTAAAATATTAGCTTCAATAATACTTCGACGTTTAACCAAAGCTCGTGAAGAGCAGACTAGGGAAAACCAAGCTGGTTTTCGACCTGGACGTGGTTGTATAGACCAGATATTCACTCAACGTCAGGTTTTAGAACATAGACACATTCAGATGCCCCACAGTCGTAGTATGTCTCGACCTTAAGGCGGCATTTGACTCCGTTGATCGTGAGGTTCTATGAGTGTTTGCTATTGAAAGGATTACCAAAGAAGTACATTAACCTCATAAAGGCTCTCCACTCGAACATAACTGGTCGAGTTAGAGCCAATGGCGAACTGTTATCGGAATCGATTACCTCAAGTGGTGTTCGTCAGGGCTGTCCACTCTTTCCATTCTTGTTTAAATTTGTCGTTGACATGCTTTTGGAGATAACCCTTTCATCATCTAAATTTCTAGGAGTTGAACTTTTACCGGAGACTCACTTGTTGACTTAGAATATGCAGATGACATAATTCTATTTGGTGAAGACGCTGACAACATGCAGAGTCTTCTGGCCACTATAAGCAACTATGCAGGCATGCTCGGAATGGGATTCTCCCCCCTCGAGATGCAAAATGTTATTTCAGGATTGGGTTGCATCGGCACCTGAACTAATGATAGGGAGTGAAGTAGTTGAGCATGTTGACCACTTCACTTATCTTGGGAGTCTCATCAGCCCTTCTGGTCTGGTGTGTAACGAAATCTCAGCACGGATACAGAAGGCTCGACTAGCTTTCACCAACTTGCGTCATTTATGGCGTAGGCGAGATATCCGTCTGGCAACCAAAGGACGGGTTTACTGCGCAGCAGTTCGTTCCGTCCTACGTTTTTTCTGTGAAACATGATCGGTAAGAGTAAAGGATATTCGTAGGCTGCTAGTATTCGATCATAGGTGTCATCGAAGCATTGCTCGTATATCCTGGAACCACTGATTAAGTAATACAGTTGTTAGGAAACGGGTACTAGGTAAGGATGGCAAATCGATTGATGAAGTGGTGAAACTTCATCAGTTGAGATGGCTGGGACGTGTTACGTATGCCCAACCACCGACTGCCCCGACGTGAAATGTTTTATGGTGTAGGAGTAGGTTGGGAGAGAGCTATTGGCGGTCAGACCAACACGTGCACAAATCCATGAAGTCACTGACAAGTGTACTGAACCATGTTGATAGGTGTAGACTACCTGGTTGGGATCCGCGAGATGATAGCGACCGATGGTTAGAGACCTTGAATGACAAGGCTCAAAATTGTTTGCAATGACAAAGACGCATCCACTGTTTGTGTTCTTCCGAATTCCCTATTTTTTTCTCTTTCCAGATTTATTTCACTGGATTATACTCCTTGAATAACATCTTCAAACCCTAATCTTTCAGATTACTGCTTATACTCTTACTACTTCTACCACTATGGGATTTGAATTGACAACTGCATCTCTGTTAGTGTGGTATGGCAACTCAAACTGATGTACGCACGTACGAAATTCTACGTTGTGACTGACTGACAAGTCTGTGTACTTGAGGTCACCCAGAATTTCTTCCTTGAGAACGCAACTCCATACAATCCGGGACCTAAGTATAATGGGTGATATTAGCCCTCATACCCGTGAAAGCACATGAGTGATCAACCTCAGTTAATATAATTCGACCTATACATAAAAAGTGGTAGTCCCCAACAGGTTGCTGACAGTATCTGCCTCTGTATTACGTTAGACTAGCACAGTATAAGTTTTCTAGTGTTGTTTAAGCCAGGCGCATTATATTACTATTTTCATAGTTCTTAGTTATTGTAAGTCAAAGCTTTCGTATCATCTTCTATTCGCAGAATATCCCATTTGACTGTATTCGGCAATACATCTCCAGGCCAGAAGATCCACCTCCAAAGTCTTTACGACGTATCAAACGTGTAGCTGTTCGTCGACGCTCACGTCATTTACGTAATGTAGGAGAAATAATTGAACAGCATCTGCGTCCGACCAATGTTAATTCTAAGCAGACTGAATCTGGTTCATCTTCTTATGCACATCAACCTTCAACATTAAAGTGGGATGCAGGAAAACATTCTAATTGGACTGTTATTCAAAAATCTTCGTGTATGTCCCTTGATACAGAAATTGACTGCCCTAGTGAGGACAGTGGAACGTCGCTAAGTAGTTGCACTTGCGATGATTATTTAACAGATACTTCAAATTCGACAAATGAAGAGGATGATTAGGAAAACCTTATAACTACGGTATTTTAACGCTTTTTAATTTAGTGTTTCACTTGGTCTCTAATAAGTTTTCCTTTTCCCCCTGTATTTAATAGTTCGTATGGCTGAAATGTAGTCTTGTGAACTGTTTGCACAGATGAAATATGTCTAGTTGTTATAATCAATTTCTTTGCTTCTATCTAAATCTACTTCATTAGCTTTTTAGCATAGTTTTTTGGATTTTTATTTTGCCCTTGGTTGTGTGTTTGTTGTCCTTGGTGGTGAGTTCACTCAAGTTTATTTATATGAATTCATTTCTCAAATTTGCATGAAGCATTTTGGTTTACTTAATTAAGACTGACCTCAGTCACATGTCATTTTCTCTTAAAGGTTATTTTTTTAAACAATCTACTACCAGTAGTACATGGGGATGCAAAACCCACCAAATCTGATCCAATATTTTGTCATACTATTTATAACCACTTGTGTCAATTGATCTTTTTCTTCCAGTTTTTATCTTCCAACTAGTAATCAATAATTATCTGATGTATATCTTATATATATGTATATTGTGATATTCTCCTCTTCAAGATTCACTTTCTTTGTTCGCACATGTATGTAGAATGTCCTAATAATGAGATCTCGTCAGTCATTGATATTTAAAAATAAATGTATTCAAACATACTACCATTATAAATGTTTATTTTGTATAGAAAGCTGCTTTTGTATGCGTCTGATTTGGTACTCAGCAGAGAAAATCGCTCAACAGGGAGTGATAGAAATAATGATGTAATCGCAAACTAAATGTCTGTTCGAAGACTACGTGATTCGCATGGTGACATTCAGTAAGAAATTGTAATGAGAAGATTGCTAACTAAATTCTTCAGGTTCTTGGGTGATTTATAATTTGAGCGAGGGATAATGAAGTAAATACGAAGGGGAAGACTATAAGTATACAAGTCAAATTAAGCCATTCTATAATTCAAGTGATTTATTTTATTGGCCAAGGTAAGAGAGTTGGTTGAACATCACTTTTTCACATATAGATCCGGTTCCTCGAACAGAACAACTATTGCTTCTGACGTTTGAGAAACTTTGAGTCTGACATTTTGAGAGATAACTAACGCGACAAAATATTGAAAATAATTGATTCACGCTGGTACATTAACCGGTCTGAACCAAGCGGCCGAGAATTAATCTGTTTGTTGTGTTGACTACATTGTAAAGTGATCACAAGGTCAACAAGAACATTGGTCAATATAATTTGTTCTCCAGTCGTTAAAATGATCAATACAAAAGGAGGTGGTTAGTATAGGTATTTCGTCTTTTAGTGACGATCTCACTATCGGATAATAGAAAACACTGGTTACAGTCTTCCTGCATTGGATGCTCTATGTACTGTTTTATGTATTCTCTTTATCAATGTTTCATTGGCTGCGTCACATGAGCTGTTTGTGGTTGAATATGGATTTCTCACTGTTCGTAATTCACCTACTACTACAGCTTTCGTGGCAATGTATTGGATTTTAGGAACTTCCTCGGGTATTCGTTTTCCCTGACAGTATGATGCTAAGGGTCTAGTTCGTATTCAACCACATCAGTAGGGAATAAAAGTTTTATTTTATAGCGAAGCGTTCCTGCTAAATTTCCTTTATTTTTCATAGATAAAGAAATACGGAGTATGTATACCGCCTTATTTAAGTACTTTTCCTGTTTAAATTCTTTATTGATTTATCAGCTGTTTCTGCTATTGGAACATCTAAAAGGTCACCTTCGCACTATCCTCCATGTGTAAGCTTACTGGAAGAAATGTACTTCTTAAACTGCTTGAGAACCTTTAGCTGTTTGATACTACATCCAAAGAAGATCAGTGTATCATCCGTATATCAGCAGTGAAATGTGAACTTTTTATTAAACTGTTTAGGTAAACGGTTTTCGAGTTTAGATAGATAAACTAATTATTATTAACTCGTCCAAGTATTGTTTCTTACGATGTACATATTTTCATCCTCGTGTTAAAATGAAATTCGCCTACACAACATTCGTACAGATGTAAATAATATTATGACAGTGTTCAAGACTTTATTAAACTTCTAATTTGTTATAAGTTAAGATGAAACACAATATCATGAAAAATTGTGTGTATAAATAATTTATTACTGAATATTAAAACTTATGCATTATAATTATAATATCGAATATTACCTATACTTATAACTCTAATAATAAATCACGAGTGTCTTAGGATAAATGTAGAATTGGATTTCTTAGTTTGAAGGAAGTAAATACACTTAGTTTTCACAGGTGAAATGTTTAAGGGATTCATATTCTTCCTTTGATCGGAAAATACCCTGTTTATGGATTTAAAATAGAGCAGTAAAGGGATTAAATTATATATATATATATATATATATATATATATATATATATATATATATATATATCGAAGCTAAATAAGCAGTAATTTAGAGAAAAGAAGTATAATCTGAGTAGGTTTAATGATCTTGTTCTATGGCAGTTAGGTGGCTTTCTACTATTACGATCTTCGTTGTGGCAGCAACCAAAATTATTGATAAGTAATATAATGATTGTTTTGATAAAACCCATTCACGAAGCACAGTCAATGTATTATAATTTGCATTGAATATTTTTGCGTTGTAGTTAATACAACTACCACTGTCCGGCAAAGCAGGCTTCAGACTTGAAACCTGGTGTTTAGGAGGTGAGTGATCTAAGAACTAATCCATGGCACCATAGATACACTGGATTTCACATAATAGTTAAAACTTCAAATAAAGAACTCAAATTTTTTGAGTTCAGAATCCTTCTCATCTTAATATTAGAGAATCTCATTTGCTTGAGTATAATCAGTCAGTCAGCTACAACGTAGGACCAGGCACATTTATGCATCGGTCCAAGTTGCCATTACCTCGTTAGCACAACAAGATGAACACCGGATTCGTAGAAGTAATTAATTTACTGGTGGTAGTAGTATATAAATTATAGGTTGTATATAAGGATATAGTACAGGAAGGGAGATATGAAGCAATTTTAGTCTCAAGGTTTAAAGGAAGATAAAGAGTGTATACACCTACGCCATTGTGATCGATTCTGAGCCATGTCACCTAGAGTCTCCAACCACTGGTTACGATAGTCACGCGGACCCCAACCTGGTAGTCTGCATCTGCCAACATGGCTCAGGCTAGAAGTTAGTGACTTCAAGCACTGATGCCATGTTTTGGTTTGGCCGCCCCTAACTCTCTTCCAACAATCCCCTACACTAGTCATCATAGCGCGTCGTGGTAATCGGTGTTCAGGCATACGTAACACGTGGCCCAACCATCTCAGTCGATGAAGATTCATCACCTCATCAATTGATTTACCATCGTTCCCTAATACCCTGCGTCTAACCTCACTATTACTTACCCGGTTATCCCAGCAGATGCGAGCAATATTTCTAAGGCATCTGTGGTCAAATACTAGTAACCTACGAGTATCTTCTACTCTTAATGGCCATGTTTCACAACCGTTGAGTATAATCAAGCTTCTAACCATATCATATACAAGGTCATTTGAAGTTTTACAGGTTATCAACTACTGTCTTTGTAATCCTTTTTCAGGGTATATTTTGAAAAAAGTAACGTAAATACGACGATCTATGCGTTGTATAGAAGCTACGTCAGAAGGAATATACATTTATAGTGTTCTTGCTCTTAATCTATGTCGTTACGCTTTGATGACCAGAATTTCTTCTCACTACATAGTTGTATTTCTAAAATGTTTTTATAAGGTAGATGACAGTCGACTTTACTTTAATATTTCTTTCAAAAACGAAAAGTTGTTCCTTTGAATCTGACCGACTCTTCGATGTATTATACATGTATTGGTTTTACAAACGGGTTAGTAAATATTACCATCTCATGAGGATCCAACAGCCTGCGGATTTCAAAATGTAGGTATTGTTATGTAAGCGTGTACTATAGATGAGAAAATTGCTTCAAAGTTGTTTTAAACATAGTGGGATTGTGAAGAGTCATGATCATAACTAACGCTTCAGCAGATATAAACCTGTTACATTTTTATTAGTAAAATATTGATCAACTTTATACTATACTGTGTTACAGTTAGGATTAAACTGATGTTGAGCAGTTATTATTGAATTAGTAGGAAATATCCTATCTTTCACTCCAAGTCGTAACGAGTTTGCTTAAAATTTTGATTGAAATTAGAAAATTCCCAAAGAATCTGATCTCATATGTTGGCTTCTAACCGATTTAACGTATAAAATTTGACCCAATTAATTACACCGGGATTAATGATAGCATTATCAACTTTCAATTATTTTTTTATAATTGCGATTAATACACCGAATCAATTTCATGTTCCTATTCATTGATTGGTCATAAAAAAATGAGGCCTTTGTTGTTCGTGATGGGTAATGTGATAGCTATTAACGAGACAGAATATGTTTACGTTAGTTCAAAGATCAATGGGGTTAGGGATTATCAATAATGATGTACAACACCCTTTTACTACAGAAATTGGTTCGTTTTGCAGTTATAAATTTTGTCCCAACACACTCTAAAACTGCCATAGGTAGTAGGCGAAATATAAATAGAAAAATATAGATTCACTCACTTTGGGTAAATGATTCCATAAATTATTAGCATGTTGTCTCAGTAAATGTTGTCTTTCCTCCTCCACAATTCGTTTTTCTTCCAAAATACGTTGTTTTTCTGCATCTAGTTCTTTTTTCGCCTGTTCATACTCTTGCATTATACGTTTGCGTTTTTCAATTAACAATTTATGTGCTTCATTAGCATATTCCATTTGTTTAAGATGACGTTTTTCTAATTCTTCTTGTTCTAAACGTTTGTCTTCTTCAAATTTAGCTAACATATAATTTCGAATTTGTAGAGCTTCTTGTTTTTCAATCTATTTCGTGTGAAAGGAATTAATTAAGAAACCGTTTAGTTTTGTAGCGGTTGGTAAGCAGCACATAGTTAGGCTGATTAAGTATATTTAGCCATTAAAAAATTCGGCTTTTGTAAGTAGAATGGCTAAATGACTGACTGTATGAAATAACACAAACCACTGGAATGTGTAGTTAGCTTTACCCAGACTATCGAGACCAACTAGATAGGCACAGTGGGACCTGATAATCATTAGACAAAACATATGTACAATCCTGGTTTTCATCTGAGCTATACATGTCATCTTAGTTAGGACTCATCGGTGGGATGTGTCTGTATCTTGTGTTTTTTTGTTAAACAATACCCAGATTGCCATCATGTAAATCCAGGCAATACTGAGAGATTTATCCAATGACCACATAAATTCAGTGACTGTTAAAATTCGATCTAGAATAACAACAACAGGTAAATAAAAACTGACAATCATGATTTGGTGTGTAATCTTTCTATTTTCTCAATTACTACATGTTTGATGATAGCTAATCATGATAAATAACTTTGAAATAATCTATTCAAAATCAGTCGACTAACTTAAAATTATCCCTTGCTCTGAGCTGTCACATGCTCTTTTGAAAAATATCGAAAAGCTCATTTTGATGCCATAAAAAACGATTACACAATAACTAGAGGTCACCACAGCTTTATTAATGCTTTTCGTGTTAAAAACGTTGGCTTCTAGTAAGAGAAGGCCAAAAGAATTCCATCAACAACATTTAGCTGAAATATAACCTTTTTGTTTGTTTAACTAGCACTTAAGTTTAGAAATGTTCTTGCTGCTTAAACACTGATTATTAGTATCACAAAATCTAAGTTTCCCTTTGATAGTCATATGCAATATGGTGAGGAATAAAAGCAGTATTCGAATAAAAATCTCCAAGTTAACCTTCAAACTTTATCTAGCTTGTAAGAAACGGTTGATTTTATTATTAGTAGCTAGGTATGTTTTTCATGTTAATAAACAAGCTAATTTCTTTCCAGTCGAGCTGTAACGACCAAGGAGAAACAGTAGAAGAATTAAAAACCCACAAAGGATCGGTGGACTATTAGTTTTTCTATCAAATATTCAGCTTGTGGCACCAAATACTATAAGAAACACTTTCTAGATCATAGATATACTCATTCAATATATTACTAGGTAACAGAAACCTACTAAAAAAATCAACACAGATATCTTAATCTTGAACCCGTAGACTGAAAATCTGTATTTAGATCTCACTATTCTGGTTGATTAAACTAATCAGTTTGCTTACTCATGAGGTTATAGTTCAAAGAATTGAATACGAGAGCATAAAACGTTGTATTACATGCTACAAATACATTTTACTTAGGTACTCTCAACTGAATCATGTCTATAAAATTTGATACAATTATTATAGCTTAAAATCTACCATAAGGATCTGTATTTGACTCCCGATTACTAACTCTTAACTTTTTATTAAAAAACCTATTTAATATGGAGGCAGATTCAATGGATTTTCATTATCAAATATCACCGATTAGATTACCTAACCTAGATCACCATTAAAATAGGATGAAATATATTCAATCCACTAATCAAACGATAACTGTTTAATGGGTTTAAGAAAAATAAAACAATAAATTACCACTGATCATTTTAAAATGTAAATGAAATTCGACAGATCATGTGGATTCAGGTAATAAATATTTTATCATTTTAATCACTAAACTAATCTTAGTTAAGATGAACAGTAAATTCATGGAATAATTAGTGTACGTTGAGATTTTCATTATCTACTTATTGTATTATCATATAATGTATGAGTAGTTTTATTACGTACATGTGTAATGGAGGGTGACTTGTTGAAAAAAGTCACACTTATTATGAGTTAACTTTTTATCCACGAATTTATATCAGAAATACACCCCATAAGTATCTTATAGTCAAGTTTAAAATATTTTCAGAATGGGGGTTTATGAAGATTTTAGTAATTTTATAGTTGAGATCATGAATCAATTGAAGCTAGACCACCATGGAAAACATGGAAGCACTGAACGGCCGTTTCGTCCTATTATGGGACTCCTAAGCAGTGCATATCCACGGTCCCGCCTCGTGAGATTCGAACCCAGGAGCTATCAGTTTCGCGCGTGAGCTCTTAACCACTAAACCATTGAGCTGGCATCCGACAGTGTTAAAATCTAACTTCAATCCACAAAATTGAGCAACCGTCCACCATTGCCTTCAGTGATTTGATATCTCACAACAGACCTGGTTGTACTCCACTGGTCACTGCTTCTCACAAGAACTTCAGGAAATATCTCTTGAAGCTAATCACTAGTAAGCATATGATTATTATCAGAAGGAGGGTTTGTGGAGATTTTAGTAATTTTATAGTTGAGATCATGAATCAATTGAAGCTAGACCCCCATGGAAAACCTGGAAGCATGATGAATTTACTTGACTAGTTTATACAAAAGTTTATTTATGTGAACTGTATGTAAAATTAGGCAATCATGTGACATTGAAATGCTTGATTTTAATTCTATAGTTTAGTGTATACCAATTACGAATTTTTATCTACATACATTTTCATGTACACGTGATTACTTGTATATTAGTTTGACTATCTTATCGTAAATATTCTATGGACTAAGTTTAATCTACATACATATCTATATTTCAATTCCTATTCATTGTCATATATTTGTAACTAATATCCATCCAAATTACATTCATTATTACATTAACTTGGATATCTGACTAATAATCGGATTATAAGTTTGATACTATTCTAATTTATGTTCATTTTGTTTTTACAAATATTGTTGAAGTACCGAGGTAGTTTGTTAATTCAATTTCATTATTACGAAAATAATAGTGTTCCTGATGTATGAACAAGAATGATAATGATTGGTTGTTTTGCTGAGTCAGACATGTGGATAGTGTGACAGGTGTTATATGTGTTATATATTCCCCTATCCTCATTATTTATTATTATCATAATTGATTGACCGTTCCTTGTTGTTGGATTGTGTCTGATTTTGATGTGGAAATATAATGATGTTTTAGTCAGGCTAATCTCGTGTTCTTGATCTAAATTGTGTTGAAGTCCTGTAGAGTAGACACTTGGAGGGAATCTAGTGTAGATATTCGTCTAAGGTAAATTAACGTCGCACGTACGTGTAAAAAGTGAAAGGACTGAACCACTCAAAATACACAAGACATATAACAGTAGAAAATGAAATATTGAATAAAACAATGAGTTACAACTTCAAACAGAAGTTTCATGTTTACCTGCTTTTGTTGTTCTTTCAGTAAAAGTTGTTCTTTATAATCTTCATAGAGTTTCCGTTGGTTGTTTAGATTTGTTATCCATTGATTTTCTCGTTCTTCTCTAATCTTTTTGTCATTTTCTTCCAAAATTAATGTTTGACGTATTTCTTCTAGTTCTTTGCGTTCTTTTTCTTTTTCTAATAGCCTTTTACCTAGTTCATCCTACATTGTTGATTGGACAGAAATTTTTTTTAGTGTACTGAAGTAAGTATTTCATCCAAAAATATCTTTTATTTCATGAAGTTATTAGAGATCATGAATATCGTTAATAGACCAGCGAATCTTTAGGTATTCGTAAGATACTTATGGAAAGCGCTTTATATTACCGAGATAAAAGAAAGTTGACAAACAAACTAAATTCACTTGATGTTATTTACCGGTATCTTCTCATTGCTATTTAGGACTGAGAGTGATCAGTCTTTTATTGGCATATGCGCATCGTATGCGGACTGCCTCGATATTGCCTTGAATCACGAGCTTTATGAGCAGAGATGGATAGTGGCTAGCAGTGGAATCCAGGACGCGCATTTCGGTCTATTTGGGACTCGTCAGCTGGATGTACCTGCACCTCAGATTTGATGTTCACAAACTAGTTTTACTCTGTAACACAAAAAATGGATCAAATCATATGTTGTTAACCCGGAAGAGTTATAGGGATGCTCTATAGACACCAAACAACGCCAGTCAAACTAGTGCGAAAACTAAGGACATCATCAGTCATATAACAACATAATTAGTTAAGGTAAGCTATGTTGTAGACACATACTAACTGAATCGTCAGAGCACTACCAAAAGATAGCTCCAAGTAGACCTTTTCAAGTAATCCAAGTAAAAATTTAGAACGGTTTCTACAGAAAATTATTTTCGAATTTAGTTTTCATTAAGAACTGACATCATCTACATAATCATTGACAATCACGAAGCCCCGAAACGTTATTCCCTGATAATTCGAAAGAGCTCCTTAAGAGTGAAATTCCTCCAGGTTTTCAGGCTCCAACTCACAAATCAAGATGCCAAAACCACTTTAGGACGATCATGAGCCCACTTATTTTTGATTTGGACAGGAATTCGCAAGATTTTAGTGAGAAACACCAGTCTTTAAATTTCAATCACTTTGTTGACAGGGCACATATTACTGATGGCGGCTGTGAAGGTTGCACAATATCATTAAACAACTGACGTAAAAAATATAGAAAATTGCACCTACAATTAGGGAACCAATGGTATTTTACTTGTTATTAAACCTACAGTTTTTAACTGTGGACTAATAAAAAGCCTTATACTATAAGGAAACACCAACTCATGAAGTATTTATGAAAAGCCATGAAGGCAGAAAGTTTTCTAAAATTAGTTATCCCAGCTCTAACTTCTTTTTAGACCTGAAGTGGTTATAATATAAAGTAATTATTGTTACATTTTAATCACCTAATTTTTCATCGAAACCTATCATTTTTTTGTTAACTAATTTATATCAGGTAATCTTATAATTACTTGTCTCTCTGACGATGATTATATGAGATTTGGTACATCGTACCGATAAGTAATCATATCAAAATCTACATTGTTTGTCAGTAACTCATTGACCACCTAAAATGTTAATGATTGTAAATAAAGAACGTTGGGTTTAGTTATTCACTGGTTCATCTTCAGCACACTTATTATCCCCATAACTTATCAAGTGTATCAAATCTGGATAAAACTAGAACAAATATAGAAGCATAATGATATGGATTCATTAAATTTTGTTGTCTCTCATTAGCTGCTAACAACCATATCAAATCTACTAGTCAATTATGTTCATTTTTCAGATTATATTAGCTTTTTATTACTTTTCAATAACCTAATAAGCAAACAATACATATTATGTTCATTCTCATTAGTCTTTTGTAACCAGAATGGATGTAGTTTTTAATGTATGAAAATTTCCTATTTGGTGTCCTTTGTTTCCATTTTCTATTATTGTTTATTCTTGTAGTTTTTTACAGCTATGGTATGTTATATTGCGTCTATCGTGTATTGCTATTGATTAAGCCCTATATATCCCTTTAGGAAGCATCCATCTTTGATTATAGGGTATTTACCAAAAACACACCAGAAATAGAGGTTTGTAATATTATTCATGTAATTTCGTAAAAATAAATGAGTTGTCTGAAACTCCAAAAAGATTTTACTTATGATCAAATACTAACAATCTAAGCAAAAATGGGTGGTGGCTAACAGTGGAATCTAAGATGCACGTTTCGTCTTATTTGGGACTCGTCAGTTAGATGTACCTGAACTCCAGAGTTCATGTTCACTCCGGGACCTGAGCCCAGTATCGTCCACTTTGAGCGTCATCACGTTATCTACTTAGTTACTGAGTACGGATAGCCACTAGCTTGTGCACTGGGATGAAGTTTTAATTCATTTTGTATTGTTTGCTTGAATTTTCCCATCGATTTTTAGGACTATAATTGACCAATCTCTTAAAGCAATATCGAGGCAATCCACACAGGATGTACATATACCAATAAGAGACTGATCAATTGCAGTCCTAAACACTAAAGGAAAAATTCAAACAACGATACAAAATGAACTAACAATCTAAGTATTTCCTTTACTTTCAAAGGTCAGCTTAAACAAATGATAACAAATAAAAGCACATTAACAATTATAAATAATTAAAAAAAAATTACTTGTAACTTTTCAATATGCTCTTGTCTTGATTTAATTGCTGCTTTAATTAACTGTTGTTCATTATCTTTCTTGGCAGTATATGCATTAACTGCTTCTAATTCTTTCTTTAGATTTTCTTTTTCAGCTTTTATATGTTCTTCACGTTCCTTTTGAAATTGATCAATTTCTTGACGAATTAGTTCTTTCTTTTTTTGGCGTTTTTGCTGTTCACTATTTTGACAATTAAGTTAGGAAATAATAAAATATACAATTGAGAAATAGATCAGAAGGGGTTTTGTGGAGAATTTAGTATTTTCGTAGTTGAAATCATGAGTCAATTGAAGCTAGACCACCAGGAAAAACCTGAAAGCACTGGACCGCCGTTTCGTCCTATTATGGGACTCCTCAGTAGTGCGCATTCACGATCCTGAACTCGCAAGATTCGAATCGAAGACCTACCAGTCTCACGCCAGAGCACTTAACCGATAGACCACTGAACCGGCATCCAACGGTGTTAATGCCTAACTTGCTCAAAATCGTTGATTGGTTGAAGTTAGACATTAACACCGTTGGATGCCGGTTCAGTGGTCTATCGGTTAAGTGCTCTGACGTGAGACTGGTAGGTCCTCGATTCGAATCTTGCGAATGCGGTATCGTGAATGCGCACTGCTGAGGAGTTCCATAATAGGACGAAACGGCGGTCCAGTGCTTTCAGGTTTTCCCTGGTTGTCTAGCTTCAATTGACTCATGATTTCAACTATGAAAATTGAGAAATAGTCAAACAATGTCTTGATTGTATTATTGAATGAATAAGATTGTTTAGCTGACACTGTACAAAAGATTTCAAAAGATAATCACTTATAACTTGATTGAATAAATGAATATATACGAAGTAATAGAAGCTAACATTAACAACCAAAATATTCAATCTGAATTGTATCATTATGAATTGTTTATGCGGTGAAAATTCATCCAGCATTATACTCTATTCCATTTAAAACCTAATAAATCTAGTCAATCAGCAGTTAGATGATATACTGAAGTAAGTCTTATCAATAAGCTAATCCATCAAAAATTAAGACTATGTTTGAGATTATGTCAAACAAAACAAAGGAATCGGTGTTGTTTGTCAGCTTTGTCGAAAGTCATGAAAATAAGATGGAGAGTCATCTTACTATGGACCTCTATTCTTGACGTTTATGATGATGACTTCTGGAAAGACAATGAAATATCAGAATCAAACTAATATATTCAGAGGACGTAACACTTGTAAGAGTCAACAATTGGGAAATGTTTAGTTGATCGATTTAATGCACATTACTTATTTATTCAAGTTTTTTCATCTCAAACTAAATTTTAGAGTAATTTCCTTCAAAATAACTTCAATTTGAAGAATGTATATACAGATATCTTTTTAATCATAAAAGAAAATAGTACTGTCGTAATTTATGAGTCTATCTATAATTTAAAGTGTTATATCGATTGCGTGCGTTCTTGCCTAGTTGATATATATGAACGTGCTGATCCCCGCCAATGAGAGAGGAGTGAATTATCGATCAGAGCAATGATACACGGAAAACCGTATGAGCAGCCTTGAGAACTTATCAGTCCTGCTATCTGCCTAGCCCAGCCAGTTAAGTCCAGAACACCAATAACACCCTCTGCAATATGAATCATTATTCTCAACATACTGGGTTTATATACGAAACAAACAGACCGCATCGTACCAATAAAATACAAAATAACATTTGTACAAGGTTCAGCCAAATGTAGCTGTGAATATGGGAGGTATTAGTCAATAGACTGGGGATAACTCAAGAACGGTAAGTCGTATAATAATAGTCTATAGATCAAAATAAAGCTTATGATAAGAGTAACACGAATATGGATAGTTTAGTTACTTAAGAATTATGCCATAGAAAATATACATATCATATTGGCCCATAAATAGCTCTCAAAGTTACCATTCATAAATCTCCACAGGATATAACACAAAGTAGTTAATAAACATTACAGGACATACTATTCATCTTCTTGTTTTATTCTTTTGACAACTTCATCAACCATTTGTTTATCACGTAAAAATTCTTGATAAACATTTTTTCGTAATTCTACTTGTTCCATTATTTGTGTATCTAATTCATTTCGAAGTTGAATTTGTGATTGTTTTCTACGAATTTCTTCTTGTTCAGCTTTAATTAAATCATCACCAATTTGTGAATTCAATTGATTAGCTTGTAAAGCTTCTTCAGTCTAATAATAATTTTTCAGAAATCAAAAAGAATATTTTATCACCAAGTAGTCAATGATAAAATAATTAAGCCACAGCTTTATAATAAAAGAAAAGACAACTGATTGATATCTTAGTCTTATCCAGAAATTGACAGATATTTCTTTTTTGAATATCTATTGTTCTCTGATGTTATTCAATGAAAAGTACCTAATCCCAAAAGTAGGAAGTAAAGAATCTTTTTAAATTTAAACAACTCATATTTTATTAATTTATTTAAACGCATAAATATTGGTACAAGGAAGCACCAGATATATATGCGCCGCACAAATTTCATTCGATTTGTGTGATGGCTATGATACTGTCCAGGTGCCAAAACCGAAGCAGGTGATTTTCTTAGGTGGCCACACCCGGAGTCTTTGATCTAAACATCTGATCCACAAGGCAGTGGGGCATCGTGAGGAAATGCAGTCCCATGGTAGCCGGTGACCAACAATTGATTCATACGCCATTTGTTCCATCAGGATACTGGAGCCCATGTACATCATTGGTTTTCCAACTCCCCTAGGTGGACTTTCCGTGTCCACTGGCTCGGTTAAAACGCCGGACATTCGCTTTTCGTCCTCTCAGTTTCGTAAACAACACCGGTGCCACGAGAAGGCAGTGAGTAAGACTATCCTGGCAGAGGCTATATACGCGTGGCCGTGTGAGAGCATTTCGAGAGAGAGAGAGGACAGGCCCTCCTCACTCTCGGCCGTACCAGGGCATTTAGGGGCAAAACAACTCATAATAAAACTATGACTAAATTTACATTAATAATAATGAAAAGTCGGGTAGAACTTCATAGCCATAATCAAATACATACTCACACCTATTAGGTAGTGAGTAAAACGGGGTTACTTTGGTTACAAAAAATGATTACAATAAAAAAAATCAAAATTCATATTTCAGATTATGTTGAATGAAATAAATAATATTTCGTAAATGGGTCTGGTTGAAAAGTATTTTAATGAGGGTGATTAAGAAGAGCTGATTGTTAAGGAATAACCCATTAAGTGAAGTACGAAATTCTGTGGTAGATTTGAAAATTCAAATATTTCCATTATAAAATTGAGAAGATTGTCTTCTAGACACTGATATGGTTTCCTTTTTTGTAATCATAAGTTCCAACATTAAATGAATGTATATAGTTTCGTACTAATTAACTCCGTCTATATTTAGTCATGAGACCTAAAGAATTTTGATACACATTTTGGTTGGTCATATTTGATCAGTACATGACGATTATGAAAAATAACCAATGATAATGTATCGCCCTGATAGAAATAAAATAACAACATCTTACTGACCATCAAGTCATAAGCAAGAGCACGTTTTTCGGCCATTTGTGCAAGTTGTTCTTTAGCTACATAAGCACTTCGTAGTTTGTTTTCAAGTTCACGAATTTCAATGCTTGCAAAATCAAAGAATAGAAATTCATTATACTGAGAAACAGTCCTGAAATGCATCATCGAAAGATGAACAGTATAACATCCTAAATATACATTTACATTTTTCCACTGATTAACCAGATAGTAATTTACGTACTGATATTGTATTAAATGAAAATAAGATAAACAATTATCGATGTTTAGAAATTAGAAATATTTGAGCAAACAATTGTTTTCAATAACTTAATCAGGCTCTAAAATTATACCGATGTATTTATTCAGGTGTTTTGTGAGAACTAGTAGAGCTTAAGAATAGTTCTCATTGCGAACAAACTCTAGTCAAAAGGTTTTTTCAAATCAGGGAACACTTTGGAGCTATTTCGGGTTAGCATGGAATATCTTGACAGTGCCCACTAATAGCTAGGACGGAGTTCCATACATTGGAAACAAGTGCGAGACAGTATAGTGACATTTGAGTTACTGCATACTTACGTAATTGACCCTGTTATACTGAAGTCAGACAGATGGGACAAGAACAGTGATTAACCAATGATAAAGAATGTATCATATCAGAAATTTGTTGAGGTTAAAATGCTGAACTAATGCGTTTCAAATCAATGGTTAACGGAGTTGTGTTCATCACAAAAACTAAGGTTCTCAAACTCATACTCATGCGGAGTCCTAGTTCCAGGATGTTAAGGGATTAATAATCAAAGTGAAGCAGATGCTCGCTTCTTCTTGGTTTTCAACGTTTGATACTGTTCAACCGAAGTGTACAGTATGTATCACCAAATTATTTCAGCTATTCTCAAATGTCCGACTGTTTAACTGTGAAAGTGACAAGCTATTTCATCTATTGTAGCTTTCTCAGTTGCATTAAGTTAGTGGTATTTACTAATAATAAGCGTTTTTTTATTCTAAAGACCAGGAAACTTTGATTAAACATGGAGAATAATCTTTCGCAAAATTAAAGATAGATGCAACTATGTACTTATCTTTTTATGAAATGGAATTTTGAAAATTATATCATATTTTGGTGCCAGATAAGTATTGATCCGGTCTTAAATCTTCGCCTGTGTACTTTGTATTTCATAAAGGTTGTCCTTTGTAGTGGATTAAAATTAGATTAACTATTACATGTCGCTAAAACCCAAATGCAAAATACGAACTAGTATAAAATGGTACCTGAAAATTTTAATGCAATGGCTTACCTTTCATTTTTGATTTTCTGACGCAACTTTTGTTTTCTTACTTGTTCAAAGTGAACCTTGGCCAACTGCTTAGCTAGAGATTCATCGATTGAAGAAGGTGAATATGCGTGACTTGCAACTTCAGTCTATGTAAACAAAAAAATGATGAATTATGGATGCTGAAAAAATTAGTTTGTATAAAAATAGTGTTCATAGATTGAATGCGTTTGTGTGGGAATATGGTGCCACCTATGACTAGTTTATTGAAGACACATAGGTTTGCAAATCTCTTACCACCTTTGTTCCTTTCTCCCAGTCCATGTCGTCCCATGAGGTCATCATATCCAGTGTTATTCATTCTGTTAGCGAGACCCCCTGTGCCATATGCTGCTCTTGAATTAGTCAATCAGGAACTTAATCGTTTGCAGCAAGCTGGTGTAATCCAACCAGTTATTACTCCGCATGGGCCGCGTCGATTGTAGTAATTATAAAGCCCAATGGAACCATACGCATATGTGCTGATTTCTCAACGGGTTTAAATGCTGCATTGGATGAATAGCAATATCCGTTACCAGTTCCTGAAGACCTGTTTGCTAAATCAAATGGTAGTACATGTTTCGCGAAAATAGACTTTTCGGATGCCTATCTGTAAGTGGAGGTGGATGACGATAGTAGAGAACTTCTGACTATCAACACTCATCGAGGGTTATTTCAATACACCCGCCTACCATTCGGCATCAAGACCGCACATGGCATCTTTCAGCAAATAATGGATACAATGCTAACTGGCATACCGGGTGCAGCAGCTTATCTAGATGACATCATAGTTATGGGTTCTACTAACAGTGAACTTTCCGATCGTCTACACCAAGTTCTCAACCGAGTGTTAGAGTATGGTTTCCAACTACGTGAAGAAAAGTGTATCTTCTTCATGCATTCGATCAAATACCTTGGTTTCATCCTAGATAAGAACGGCCGACGACCAGATCCTGCCAATATAGAAGCTATTCACAAAATGCCCGTACCAACTGACGTCCGTTCACTAAGGTCATTCTTGGGATTAGTTAGTCACTACAGCACATTCCTGCCTGAAATGCATCGAGTGAGAGGCCCTCTAAATGAATTACTATCGAAAGATAAACCTTGGCAGTGGTCAGCAGAATGTCAAGCATCCTTCGACAAAGTCAAGTCAATGCTCAGCTCAAAGCTTCTCTTGACACACTTCGATCCCAGCTTGGCAATTGTTGTTGCATCTGATGCATCTAGTCATGGAGCTGGAGCAGTTATATCTGTTATATCGAGACCCTGTTCTACAAGAAGTTAGAAAGTTCCACCTAGAAGATGACCCTCAAAGATCAGTCCAACAGAGCTTAAGCAGTTTTATCTTTTTCAATCATCGACGATTTTTTCATGTTTGCTGAACGTGTCATAATTCAAAGAAGTTGCAACCGACAGTTCTCGAACAGTTGCATGCAGGACATTCCGGAATAAACTGCGTGAAAGCGCTAGCACGAAGTTATGTATACTAGCCACAATTAGATACCTAACTCGAGCAGCCACACATATATATATATATATATATACATATATATATATATATATATATATATATATATATATATATATATATATATATATATATATAATCACGTCAGTGAAACTGGAAAGCCCAGTAATCTGTTGCATAAAGAATGATTTAAGTGGTCGATCAGAGAAAAGACAGTATGAGAACTCTGAGAAGATTCGAGTTCCAAGTTAAGTGAATAAACCGGCGTTAATTGGAAGTAAACCATAGTAAATTTTGTTACCTGAATCAATCACTGACAATACTCACATTATTACACAATAAATGAAATTCAAAATGCTTCCGTGTAGACTCGGACTTAAATTTGAAATCCTATGTGCTAAACGTATTATGTTCGACAACCACCAGAGGACATTTGTATTGTGTGATTGAAACAATTAACATTGATTTCGGACATGATCATTCGCCTCGAGGCGAATATGCCGAAAATACTCCAGTGAGGAGACACTAAGCATACCCTATTGTCTTATCAGAGGTTAAATGATTATAAAACAGACTCGTATATACGACGACGATTAAACATTGGTATGATTAGATGAGAGCCTATAAGTTCTCTCAAAAATTAATATATAAGCAACTAAGTTTAGTCTCCTTGATATCATCGAGTTGTGAATAGCCAGTTATTATTAAAGGGATGACATATCAAATCTGTCCCCTAGAATATGAATAATCATTGCTTGTTTGTGCATTTAATGGAACGTATTTATAACTCTAAATCTCAGGGGTTTTGACAAGCAATTTACGCTTATGTTATTTCAAGTGAGTCACTTTCTTGATGTTCTCTGTTAACAAAGAAGAAGAATACTGGACTATTTATAAATAGTCCACTATAGTTCACTATAGTGAAATTTATGATATTGAGAACTAACCATAATGAATACGACATTTGAAAACGCCACACACACATAAGTATCTAATAACCACAACCTTCAGAGTACAATTTCAATGAACAAGCTAAGTTAATTGAAAATGGTGAACTATTTGTTACTTTAGATCTGCATCTATGCTATGGTATAACTTTATCGTTTAAGTAGGAGCATGATCCCTGTTATTTATCGTTTGAATATAAAGAACGAAAACAACTGACGTGATTAAGCTTTAACCCTTGGAGTAATCCTGATCAAAACCCATGGAGCCGAAGTAAGCATCGAAAAAATGTACCAATAGTGCATATTCTGGTGAAGAGTCAAAATGATTACCAATTTTAAATGCGAAGATTTTTTAGGGAATGTTACCTGCCCTTTGCCTTATTGTATGCTTAATGGTTATCATCTTAAGAGTAGAGTAATACCGAACTAAATAAGTGATCTATTAGGAGTGAGAGGATTTCAATAGATAAGATAAACAGTAATTGCATATTAAGATGAAAAAGTAATCTGTGTTTGACAACCCTTTAACCAGTAACTTCTTTTATAATTGAAATGTGCCAAACTAGTCAAAACAGAAGTCAGAAGAAAAGATGTTTGTAGATATTGTAGCTGTAAATAATTCCCCTAAATCAATGGCTTTCTAAGTGTTCGACATTGGATGCTGACCACGTTGTTTTCAGTGAACTTGTTTAACTGAAGGCTTTCGGTCATACATCTACATCAGATCACGTTACGACCCAGCGTGGGACACAGCTCCTACGTTTCGCTAGACAGATCACAGTAAACGCTTCTCCATATATTGATAACGTATCAAATATATCTCTCCTACCTCTTCTCGTCGGACTTCTGATTTCAACTGGTTGGGGAACGCTTCGAACATAGGTGTTACTGGTTTATAGTTGTAAAACTTCAAGACTAGTCGTATCTTCAGTGGTAAACCTGACGTGATCTACTACACCAAGCGCATAAACTGTGAGTCTGTTCCTTTTCATTATTAATTGTTTTTTCTTTATTTGATTTAGATATATTGTGATATACCTTTTTTCGGATATATTTTAATTATATATTTCTCGTTATAATAATACTATAACGGAACAGACATCTAAGGTATTTAAGTTAAAACCTATTCCCCGACCCTCTATTCAGTTAACTCCCTTCTGGCCTGACAATATCGAATCCTGGTTCTGCTACGCAGAAGCTGACTTTTGCGGGCACGGAATCACGGACTCGCGCACGCAGTTCCCTGCGGAAGTTAAGGCGTCGTCGTGCGAATTTAACAGGTACGTAACACCTAGTATGTTTACTAGTGATGTTTCCGAACCTTGCGAAAATCTTAAACGATCGATTCTAAAACGTGGAGACCTAACCGATCGACAACGGTTAGACCAACTCCTCAATAACATCGACCTGCAATAGGGTTCTGTGACAGATATGTTGCTTAGGATGAGAGAAGTGATAGGTCAAAGAACCTTCGACGATGGCCTATTCAAACAACTCATCTTGTCTAAACTCCCGAAACAGGTGCAGACAGTGCTCGTCTCGTTCCAAAACAACGCCGTAGACGAACTAGTTGCATCTGCCGATCGAATCTTAGAAATTACGAAATCGACAAGCGCCGAGGTTTTTTCAGTCAAAGAAAAACATCAATTGACCCCGACTGACATAGCCGAACTATGTCACACACTCACCCGAAATCTTAGATTTCGTAATGACCGTAGTCGGTCAAGAAACGCGCGAAGAAGTGTTCCACGTAAGCGATCTCTCGTGGTCGAGGGACAGATAATCCCGACTGGTGCTGGTATCATAACCAGTATGGCAAATCTTCCAGAAATTGCAGGAAACCCTGCAATTGTCCGAACTCCAAATCCACTGACACGAAAAAGAACTCGGGAAACTTCCCAGCCGGCACGCGTTAGCGGCAACCGTAGCCGGCGAACATAGACGCCTCTTATATGTCACGGATGTGACTACAAAAGTACGCCACCTCGTCGACACTGGCGCAGAAGTTAGCGTGCTTCCCGCGAACTCTAACGACAGACTTCAAGAGTCTGTTTTAAGTCTACAGGCGGCGAACGGAAAACCGATCGCTACATACGTTAAAAGGTACGTTTACCTCAACGTGGGTTTACGCAAACTCATACACCGGATTTTCGTTGTTGCAGATGTTTCTATGCCAATCATTAGTATAGACCTGCTACAATACCACAATCTACTCATCGACACGCGCTCACGAAGGTTAAAAGACGGAAACACTAAGTCATCTGTTTTTGTAACTCCTTTATCTGGTTGCAGATTATCCATAGTCACGATTAAGCACGTCACAGACCCCTTATATCAACCATTACTCGACAAATACTCTGAGATATATGAACCACAACCGAAATTGCCTTGTGTAACCAGCAATGTTACACATCACATCTCGACTACAGGACCACCTGTATTCTCTAAAGCTCGCCGACTTGCTCCCGAAAAGCTTAGGTTAGCTAAAAACGAATACGACCACAAGATAGACTTAGGAATAATTTGTCCGTCAAATAGCCCTTGGTCATCTCCTTTGCAGATGGTCCCTAAAATGGACAGCAATGATTGGCGTCCAACTGGTGATTATCGGCGTCTGAACGCTGAAACCATTCCCGATCGTTACTCGTTGCCCCACATTCACGATTTGACAGCTACCTTGAATGACACAATTGTCTTTTCGAAAATCGACTTGGTTAAGGCTTACAACCAAATACCTATGGCAACCAACGGCATTCCAAAAACTAGTCAAATCAGAAGTCAGAAGAAAACATGTTTGAAGATATATTTGATAGAATATGCATATATCGGGTAGTGAATAGTCCAAACTGACTAGCAGTTTTAGGATATGTATAGCACGTTGTACCCACTCATGATCTGGTGAGAATGCATGACTGAGGGGCTTCAGCAAAGTGAGTCCACTAAAAATAATGTCATCCGCATCAAATATGGAAGACTTAAAGAGCTATTGATTTTGGGGATTTTTTCACCGCTACATGTACTACATGTACTTGTAGTAGAAAGGTCTCAGTTATCGATTCTTGGAATCGATTCTTTCACAAATTACTCGTTAAAAACAACCTGTAGTAGCACAGTCGCCTTCCTGAATTAACGCCTGAAATTTTGTTGGGCCGTTATAAGTAAGCACTGGATTCAAAGATTGAACGGAAAGTTTTATTTCTACAACATAAACACTCATTGAAACGTTTTCTACTACAAATAACTGTACTCAGTGGTAGAGTGACTGTATTATCAAGGACATAATATGTTGGTGAACATTAACCAGAGTGGTGGATTTGTGCAGTTGCTTATCTCGCACTTTTGATAGAAATTCTTCCTGCAAATAGCCCATTACAGAAGTAACCTGCAACCTTTTAGGAATAAAGGCACAAATATTTGAGCATAAATCCAGCTTTTTTGAACTGCCTCATTCAGAACCAATGGTTCATCTTTGTAACGCGACATCCACATGACGCGCCAATGTTTACGCGCACATTTCGGCTTAAATCCTGTTGACAGATTTTCTGTGCACTAACATTTGCTATGCTATGGTTTTCTAAAAATTTCTTATAACGCGCCAATCAACCTGGATGATCTCGCTTACCGCACTAAATATCTTAACTTTTGTAAAATCTTGATCGTGCCTGTAAATTTGGATGTCCCATTAAAATTATGGTTACTTAAAAATGAATTTAAATCATTGTTATTATTTTTATCATATAAAGGTTGAGAATAAAACGACTTAAATGAGCTATTAATATCGGTCATTGTCTTATATTCGAACAAATTTAATATAACTTGGTTGGCTGAGTGAGATGTAAAGATGTCATGGATATTCAATATTTCATAACTCTTTTGTCCATAACACTTTGGTAATCGGAAGGTCCTAAACTCTGTTTAATCAAAAGACAGAAATGAAGGAGATTGAAGATATATTTGTAAGGTATTCTGCGCCTCAAGAAGTACGTGAAATAAGCAATGGATGCGTAGCATGGCCTACTCAACGGTGATCTTTTTTTACATTTATTAACTTTATATCCTTACCTAAGACATCATGACACATCCCTCAAAAGCTGCTTTAGCCTTACGCTCACAGAAGTGGATCAAAAATAAAGCAAATATTGGCTATCATCAATGAATCTTGATGCTACCTAGGTCTCAAACTGCCATACAAACTTCCAATACACTCCTGGTTGTTCATTGGAATAACTCAATTCCACCTTTGGTAGTTGTAGACCTACAGCGGGCGCCATAGGCATTACTCTCTTCTCTGATATTCTTAGCCTTTGCTTCTCATCTGAACTAAGATTTTTCACGTCATCTGCCATCAAATCACAACTAAAGTCATTATCATGGTAATGATCCCAGTTCGGGTCTATGCCATGACACACAAGGACGTCGAAAGGCATTTGATTTGTTAAAGGTGATCCGTCCTTTAGTTTGGCTCCATTAACACCAACGAGCTTTAAGCTTGACTTCTTTAGACGAGCGTTTGACATCACGAGCAAAGGAAAAGAATATCGTCAAGAGCGATACCTGAAATCCACGAAACGTTCGCCAAATAACTCCTTTCAATCGCCAGATATTTGTTTAGAACCGTCGAATCCAAACCAAGGTTTGGACTGAAGAATAACTGTCCAGGTATTTTAGATATCCGCTATTACTCAGTTGAAACCAAAACATAGTGGTTGGGTAAATGACGGTTCTAGATTTCATTAAAATTATAAATGTACATTATCACTTAAATGAATATTATCACCCAGTTATTCAACCAATAACTGTTTATTCAATAATCAATCTGGAATACAATAAATATACATTTTGATAAGGAATATAAATATAATTGCCAAGCGCATCAAATAAATGTCATTCTATCCTTCCTGGGTAGATCACGTACAGATTCGTTCGAAAGATAATATTTGGTTGCTTCATAACACATAGTGTTTCTTATTCTGGAAGAGTGCTTCAATTCACAATGAAAAATGAACAGTTCCAGTCAATGCAAGCATAACAATCAAAAGGGAAACAAATCAATATGGCTGCCGCCAAGATTAACTATCAACTAAAACAACATAAATGCAGTTCTGGAAGAAACATGGAAACTCAGTGAAGGCGTAAAAAAAGTTTGTAATAAAGTACAAATATAACCATCTCAAATAGA